CTCAGGCTTACCACGCGAGTGCTCTGCTCTGTCGGCCATTGTGACTGCTGGAGCGTCGCGAGCAAAAAGGCACACTTATGCTTTTCACGGGGCATGAATTGGCAGACTATCTCATCAACTGGTATGATGCTACTAGTATTTATACTAGTAGATGCTGATGCATAGCCTGACAATTGACATCTCGTAGGACATCGCAATGTTAAAAATACCAGTCGCTAACATTGAAAAAGGATAGAACGTGAACTAGTTCGGCTGAAACGCAAACAGGTAGAATTCTAGTTCATAACTAGTAGCTTTCCCTGCAGGGTGGTTGGTGGTGTGAGTGTGAGTTTCGTTTGCGTATGGGATGAATCAACAAGCTTACCTGCTAGTGAAAGACAAGACTAGTTTCAACACAACAGCGGCGCTAGACTCGAGTTATGAGATGAATTCATGAATTCTGTGGTGCATTCATAACATGAGTTGATTTTTGCATCCCTTTACTATCTATTCAGGCGAACGTGGCGTATGAGTAACACTCTTATCTGCTGATATTTCATACAAAAAATCCTTGCGCATTTTCATTTTACCAGTCATTATTTTGTTATTTATATATCGATTTTCTTCAGCTTAGTAGTAGCTTAGTTTTTTTTCTAAAGGAACAGGCTTTATTATATATAAATATATATTATTATATTTACATAGAAACTGTTATTTTTTTACTTTTTTCCATGCTAAAGTTTGAATTTTTCGCATTTTTCCATCAAAATACCAAAAATCTGGAATGATTAATTAATTTCTCAGAAACTACTTATAAGGGCTATCGAAAAGTAATCTATACACGGTTTATGGAGAATTTTATTTTCTATCGTTTGCCGTACCTTGTATTACGATTATTTAATTGGTTCGTAGGAAATACCTGATTAATCGGAACCACTTTTTTTTGAGCTGAATAACGGTAAATTGCAAATATCACGTAAACGTATACATACAAAAAACAATTAACTCGGTTTTCGGAATCAGCGAGCGATTTTACATACAAATTGGATAGTGGCGTCTGGAGAACAAAATCAAAATTAAAATTTGTGATCCAGTATAATCAATTGCATCACATTCCCTCTTACTATGCATATGCCTAAATGTATGCAGCCATTTACAATAGCAAGTAAACACAGGGTGGTTCTAATGGTACTAAAAATTTTGTACTGAAATACACAATTTGAAATCATAAAACATCCGTACCATGCTGTGCAATAACGCATCGCGTAGTTCCTTCCTTTTACGCTGTAGCCTTTGTGCATTTTAAGGCGCACTGCTACAAAAAGGAAACGCATGCACAAGGTTGCAAATTCGCAGGGTGCACTTGATGATTTTTTTATGTCAGTTATTCGAAAAACTTTTTTTTATGATGCATTTCCGAACGTTCTTTTTTGCAGTTCGCAAATATTTTTTATGCATTTATGCATTTATGATGCATTTCCCAACGCTTTTTTGCAATTTGCTTTTCAAACGGTTTTAAACAAATTAACAAATTANCGAAGGTTATGTAAATTAAAATAACAATCATGTTTGCATGATCATTCATCGCTCCAAATTATTTTATTAAAAAAGTTGGGGTCTAATTCATGCATTCGCAACATTCCACGGTAAAATCTAACCCTCGACAGGTAATCTCTTTCTTTTAGAGCCTGAACGCGTTGAATGTGGTAGGGATGAAATGGATGGTTTTTTAAAGCTTTGTGAACTGTAGATTTTANTACCTTTTAAGAAAATACGCTTTTAGAGATCTTAATCTCAAGTGGGCTATCTCAGCAGCAGCTCCATTTAGTTGTTCCCGCAAATGCTCTTCGTTTTGAATTGTTTTTGAATAAATTTTGACCTTAAGACAGCTCCAATAGAAAAAATCTCATGGATTCAGGACTGGCGATCGAGCGGGCCACGTGATTGGCGCGTATCGTCCAATCCATCTGCGAGGATAAGTTTTGTCTAAATGAGCTATTACTTCTCGACCGTAGTGAGCAGGGCATCCGTCATTTTGCAGCCATAGTCTTCGCCGCAGGTTTAACGGTACATCTTCTAAAAGAGTTGGAAGCCATTCCTGAAGGAACTCTAAATAACTGTGAGAGTTGAGCGTTAGCGGCAGTTTCACAGGTCCCAATATCTGATAATTAAAAATACCGCACTATAAATTTATTTTGTACCGGTACTGCGAACGATCTTCTCTCATTTCGTGAGGATTGTCTACCTGACAACTGTGAAGGTTATGTAAATTAAAATAACAATCATGTTTGCATGATCATTCATCGCTCCAAATTATTTTATTAAGAAAGTTGGGGTCTAATTCATGCATTCGCAACATTCCACGGTAAAATCTAACCCTCGACAGGTAATCTCTTTCTTTTAGAGCCTGAACGCGTTGAATGTGGTAGGGATGAAATGGATGGTTTTTTAAAGCTTTGTGAACTGTAGATTTTAGTATTCCTGTCCTTCTTTCCATCATTCTCACTGAAGTCGATGGACCTAGTTCCACTTCCTCTAACACAACTCCAACATCTACCGTTCCAGGACGGCCTATTTCGCCGCCACGCCATCCAGGTATGCGATCTTAAAAAGTGAAAAATGATTGCTAAAAAGCAAGCAAACGAAAAAGCTGTAAAAATCACCTACCTTCATATATTTCTCTATTTGTCCGGGCAGCTCTGGCATTACAGCAAGCTTCACCGTAAATTAGGTGAATATCCGCATATTCATGCGACGTATACTGCGTGTTCTCTGTCATAGTATTAATAACACAATGTTCGAAGGGTCCAATTTCACAAAATCCACTTTCACTAATTCCGGTAAGTAACA